TAGTGGATCCAAGTGCTCATATCAATAATAATTCGAAGGGTTTCAATTCTCTCCTTTCACATTTCTTAGTACTAAAAAAATCCCTTGGAGATAATAATGGGGGAGAACTGAAAATACACCAGGTAATACTTCAACTCCCAGCAGTGTGTGTGTGTGTGTGTGTGTGTGTGTGTGTGTGTGTGTGCGCAACGGAGTGTATACATGCTTTTGTGTTCAGATTAAAAGACCCAAAAAGGGTCCACCACTAAGCCGGTGTGAAGGGGAAAGTTTCCAAATACAAACGTTTGATCCAAGCAGTTAAAGTGTCAGGCCTCAAATCGGATTTGGGAAATTAATCCGGATCGGGAGCAAGTGTGAACAAACAAAGTGCAGTGGGGCTTGAACCAGCCTCTCTCTGGGAGTAGGTCTATGTCGTCTCTCGAGGTCCAAATACCGCTCTATAAACTGAGTTCAGTTCATTCACTGAGGATAGAGACGTCAAAGCTGTGTGAGTGTATTTAAGTGACAAAGCCAGTTCTGTTCTGAGGAGGGCCACATCAAAGGAGCAGATGTACAGTGTGTTCTGGAATTCCTGCTGGGCTTTTAGTGGCTTTAAAGTGAACCGTGATTAAATGCTCTAGGAGGTTAAAACTCTAAAAACCAATCATTATTATGCATTAATCTTGATTGACGTGCTTGATTGAAGTAAATAGAAATGTTCTTGTGTGTATTTATATAACCTATACACATACAAATTATATATACTGTATTTATATTTTAGTGGCTTTCTTACATCAATACGCCCGTAGATGTAGGCTATGTTGCTGTCTTCGTGAGTGAGTCATCAAATCGATTCGATCATTAGCAATTCCTTCAAAACACTGATTCAAGAACAAAATTTCTGAATTAGCCTATAGAATATAGCTTACCATTATTTCCACTTAGTGTCAAAAATAGTAAAAGTAGGGGTACTTCCCAGTAAAATATTGTTCATAAATCTTCGTCAATACAGATGTTCTTTTTAATGAGCTGTTTTGAATCAGAAGTAGTGATGCCAGATTCGCGAAAGCATTACTCTTGATCTAATCGGTCAAATGGGTTTGCAAAAAGGTTTTAAAAATTATGACCGTTCGCTCACCCACTGGATCGTTTGCAGTGGTTTCTCACACCGAAATACGGGATATTTTATAAGACAGAAAACAAAACTTGCGTGTCTCATAGTTTGTCAACGATGAAGCAGCTCTTCTGCGTGTACGTGTAGCATGTGAACGGCTCCGTACTGCAAGTAAAGATCCAAAACAGGTTTAAAAATTATTTTATATATATATATATATATATATTATATTATTATTTATTTTATTTTTTAAATAAAGTTAAAATAAAGTTAAAATTTGGGCACACTTTGCTGGTGGCCAGTGCACTCACTACTGATGAAACGCTAGATGCAGTTCAGAATTCAGCCAATATAATTGTTTCCCCATTTGAGTTTCTAAATTGATATTGTTAAAAAAAAAGTTCTGAATTCAGCCACTTTCTTCATGAAATGAGTATTTGAATCATCCGATTCGTTTGGAAGTATACAAAAGGTAACTTCAATATTGGTATTCTAAAATGTGAGGGGGGGTTTTATATATTAGCATTACTTGTTTATTGAACAGTTTAAACGTTATAAAAGCAGCTAAACACCCGGACTGCCGCTGTTATGCACACCTGTACAGTAGAAAAGAGCAGCAGAGTCTTCGGGCAAATCTCGACTCTTCAGTTTCGAATAAATAGGCGCTCACCTGATACTCTTGTTTCAATCATCACGTCTGGGGTCCGCAGTTCAAGTTCTCTGCTCCGTTGAGGCCCGTCACGCTTCGTCTGATTAATTCTCAGGTTTTCGCCATGCCCAGATTAAACTTTCTGTGACCACAGTTCAAGACAAGTAGCTCCCGCTTTTGATTTTCCATTTCTTTTCATGTCTCCTTTCAGCTCCCCAACAACCCTTAAATGTAGGTCACGCTTTACACTACAGTATCCAGAGTAGTTACAAAAGCACTGCGCACTATGTATAGCACGCACGTAGTATGTAATTATGTTATGGAACAGTCTAGAATTACAGACTGTTATCGCTATTGTAATTATGTTAAAGGGGTCATATGATGCGATTTCAATTTTTCCTTTCTCTTTGAAGTGTTACAAGCTCTTGGTGCATAAAGAAGATCTGTAAAGTTGCAAAGACTAAAGTCTCAAATCCAAAGAGATATTATTTATAAAAGTTAAGAGTCAACCACGCCTACCTAAAACGGCTCGTTCTAACACGCCCCCACATGTCTATGTCACGATGTGGGAAGATTTGCATAACGCCTCCAAAATGTTCACGCAAAGAAAGAAGGCGTACATTTTTTTTCTCGCTGTATTGTTGCTGCCACCATGTCGTGAAGATGCTGTGTGTTTCGTTGTGAAAGCGAAACTATAGTGCCAGCCCGGGGTCGCCACATGTGGTTGCCGCAAGCCCGCCGGCCGTGCCGTTCTCAATCCCGCCGGCCGTTCCTCACTCAAGTCCGCCCGCCGCCGCTCACTCTAGCCCGCCGTGTGTGACACTGTGTGTTTCGTTGTGAAAGCGAAACTACTTTGTTTGGCCTTCCAAAAGAGGAC